ATATATCTTTCCATTAATAAATTATATTTCATTAAAATAAAGAATAATTAAAATGCAATTTATGCCTTACTTTTCCAAAGAAAGAAAAACCAAGTTAACTGAGATTTATAGTTGTCTATTAATTCATCAGAAAAAGTCTGGAATATTTTACAGATTTATTCTATTCAATACAAATGGCAGCACATATAAAAAAATGTAATTTAGCTGGATAAAAAGATTTATGTAAATTTTCGCTTTTGAAATATCATCATCATCCGATATATATATATAATGCAGTGAACCAGAAATGTTAAAAGCAACATACCATATTCAGCGTCATACGGTCTATCTCGTGTTTATCCTTGGTGTTTAAGTGCCTGAACGGACTACGTCCCATTAAGAGCTTGAATATTACGCAACCGAAGGAAAACCAATCCGCACTCGAATCGTATGGAGTGTTTTTCGCAATCACCTCCGGCGCCATGTATCCATGCGTGCCGCTGTTACAGCATGAATGAAAAGTATTATATATTCAGAGCATTGCGTTACACGTGGAAAAATTCGATTGAATTTCAGATATATATACATACACGCTTGAGTGCGGCCTTTTTTTTAAGAAATCGACTGCCAATCCCAGATCCGATATCCTAATGTGACCGTGTTCGTCCAGCAATATATTCGCGGGCTTCAAATCACGGTAAACGATGTACCTGCTATGCATGTGTTCCAGACCGAGGAGCATTTCCGCGGCGTAGAATTTCACTTCCGGCTCGGTAAAGATTCCGCGTTGGTTTAGATGATAATGCAGATCACCACCGTTCATCAAATCCAATATGAAGCACAATTTGTCAACGGTGTGAAATGCATACGTCATGCATACTATGAATGGGCAATCCATCTGCGATGACAATGCTTTTTTATGTCACATCTGACTAGCGTCATCGTGATTTAAATTTGAAGGCATTGTTTATGATAAAAGAGAAAAAAAAACAAGTCTCTTACCCCGGTGCTGACTATCGAAAGCATCGTCCTCTCATTGAGAGCCAACGTTTCACCTTGCTTCATTTTAATACGTTTTTTATCTAGACATTTCATGGCATACATCTTGCCAGTGTCCGCTTTCCGGCAACCATACACCTCGCCGAAGCCGCCCCTGCCTATTATTCGATGCACGCTGAAGTCGTTCATCGTCAGCTGTAATTTCCGTTATAAAACGCGTGATAATTTAATCTTGAAAATTCCATTCTTGAAAAAGGGAGAACAAAATGAAATAAATATTAATTTATCTGTACCTGGATATTTAATTCTAAGTTTTTCCATTGGCAGAAACGGGTGTATTTATCGCTAGAAATATACAATTTTTCTTTTAATCACAAATTATCACGTCATACAAGTTTATTTGTAAAAAAAACTGTCAGAATGTCATTTGTACCTTTCCAAAAATTTCTGAAACGGTTCTCCTCGCAAATGATTAAATATTTCCTCGATGTACGGCTACAAAAATAAAAGAAATTTCATTTATCACGAATAATATCGATTAGGTAGGCGCAATCGCGTAGATAAGGTCACAAGACAATGACCTACCTCAAATAAGTCAACTGGGACTTCATTTTTCATAAGATATTTGTGCACGTGAGCTACCGCCTCTTGCGAATATTCCTGCAAAAGATAGACACGTCGCCATTCATTAAAAAATAATATACGTACATATAAAGAAAAAATGGAAAGAGAAAATTCTTCTCCAGTTATTATTACGGAACAAAATAGAATTCGCGATGTTGTGTCTA